GAACCCAAAAGCCTCCACCGGCACACTTGCAGAATGCGAGCACAGCACTAGAAAAGAGCAGAAAAAACTTGCACGTGCGGAGCGCATAGAGGAGAAACTCCTAGAAAAAACCTTCGAAAACACCTTAGAAAAAAGAGTGGAAAATCTCAGGAAACCACAGAACTTCCCAGAAAAAAACATGGAAAATCCTGGAAAAACCCTCGAAAAAGGCATGAGTAAATCTTACAAAAACCTTTGAAAATCCTAGCAATCCAGCGGAAAACGTTGCAAAATCTAGGAAAACCAAGGGCACTGGCAGGGACCAGGCCGGGATTCGAGCCCGGGACCATTTAGGGACCGTGCTTATTTTCCCCCGCGGGTGGAGAGGGTGCCCTAAGATGTAAATCAATTGGGATGGAGAAATCTTGGACAAATCTTGGACAATTCTTGGCTAATTCTTGGCTAATTTCGCGACCTTTTCGTCACTTAAGCCAAGCTGCGGAGGGGTAGGGGAGGTATAGCCTTAGCCTTTACTTATATGATTAGCCTTAGCCTTATCCGTTCCCGGTCTTTTTATCAACAACAGTCACGCCGGGGTCGGCGGATATATAATCTAATCTAATGTAGATTTGTGTGTGTGCGCACGTTTTGAGTGCAAATCTCAGTTCCTCAACCAGCGATACAATATTCACCGCTGAGGAGGGGGCGGGGAGCAGAAAAGATATGAAAAGATACAGGGGTTATCCAGGCGTGAAGGTCACCACTTTGTAGTCATTACTGAAAGTCAACATTTGTAGTGTAGACGGGAGCAGATAACCCGTTATCGTCATTTGATCCAGACGTGCCTGTCCCGCATGCTGCTTTTTCTTTCCGTCGATGGCTTGACACAGCTTCAAAACACCAATCCCAGCCCTGAAGCTTCCACGGGCCAACCCGATGGAATTCATGTCCTCCAACGCATGAGGTCGTGTGGTCGCTACTTTCCTGCCTGGTTTTAAGTACGGTGGCTACTGTCCTGTTTGGTTTTCATGCGGTGGCTACATTCCTGCCTGGCTTTCACTGTCTGGTTTTTGTTGGCTGGTGATGCATCACGTCTTGCGGGGGTATTCAATCCCAGATTCAATGCATTTTTTGGTATTCATGCATTGTTCTAGTTTGCCCCCTGCATTTTCCCTGCCTATGCCTGCCAACTAGTTAATCTACCCCTCCTCCAAACCATCCTGAATCAATTACTGCTGCCTGGTTTTAAGTATGGTGGTTAATTTTTGTGCCTAGTTTTGATGAGGTGGTACTTTCCTGTCTGATTTTAGTGTGGTGGCTGCTTTCCTGCATGGTTTTTAGTTTACATTTTCCCAGGGTGGTCTTATGATGCCATTGAAATTCTGTTGCGTTTATAGTTTGTTTAGTTTGCCCCCTGGATTTTCCAAGGCCCACGCCTGCCAGCTAAATTAATCTACGCCTCCTCCGGAGGTCAGCCGCTCCTGAAGTAATTTTTGCTGCCTGGTTTTGAGTGTGGTGGCCTGGTTTTGGCCAGGCTGTTCTTTTCTCACGCCATTGAATTTCTTTTGGTTTCTAAAGGCACCCCAACAAAACCAAAAGGGCCGCAAACATTTCTTGCATCATGGCGCGCCCCCTGGCCAAGCAAAGCGCTATGGTGCAAGAAACGTTGGCACAACTCAGTGTTCATTGGGCACCGCGCCGGGTACCAAATGAAAACCGATTTGGGGCGGCCAAGCCGAGTGCAACTGTCAGCGCCTGTGCCTCATGTCTCCTGTTCCCATCTATAGAAGGTGTCCTCTCTAGGAGGCGTCCTTCCTTCCTTCTTTCTTGCTTTCTTTTTCCTTTCGTTCTTTCGTAACGGACTCTTCAAAGAGCAAAAAGAAGGGACGCGGACTTCTGTGTGCCAATATTTAACAAAAGCTGACGCACCCAAGATTTGCACACTCGTTGCCGCTTGTGACAGTACAACTGTATACTGATCAGCACTGTTCGTAACAACTTGAAAGGTTCCCTGCGCGCCTGTCCGGCCAAGAACGACCTTGCAAAGTTAATATACTGAGTTGCCGTGTTCTGTCGTTCCAGTTGGCCTAAAGCACAGGCCCGCGGAGTTGTCTAGCAATGTCTAGGATGGCGCCATGTGGTTTGCTAACTGCTCGCGGCATGTTGGTAAAGTAGAATCTGACTCCGCCCTTCGACTTTGGGGGGCAACTCGCCGAGGATCAAAGACGAAAAGCGCTATTTGTGGTGCTTGCACCCTCACGGTCTTCTTGCTGATGGATGGCACTCCATGATTGCACCTCTGCTGCATCCTGTTCAACTGGCTTACGAAAAGCCGGCTTTTCACATGAGGCCAGAAGCTCTGTGATGTGAACCGCAGCCCTATGACAGCACAAGTGGTGGAGATGTGTTTTGAATCAGGCCTCCAACCTGGACTCTTTCGCCGATGAGGGCAACGGTCCCCCAGGCGTGGGGCGGAAGGTTGCTTTGTGCTTCGCGCCCATCATCCAGCATGTGCCGGTGCATCAGGCGAGTGGGTCGTTGGATTGTGTTCACGGCTATGCTTTCCAGAACACCGGTGTGTAAATGAATATATCAATAAATAAATATATATAGATAAAACAGTTCTATAGGTGTGCTTTGAAACCCAACAGCGGAACAAGGAATCTTTGCGAGCAGGTTGCCTTGAATAAATTTGACAGTGCGACGGTCGTCGTTCGAACATTTTTCACACAAATTGTGCCGTGTGTTTGTTTGGATGGCTGTGTGCTATCTAAAACCCAGATCAGGTCTTTGCAAATGTCTCCAGTTACTCGTTCGTGTTTTGTATTTTCTTGGTCGACAAACAGCTGACTTCTCCACCGCAACGGCATGGGTGCAGGAGATGTATCGGAACCTTTGCTGCTCCTCCGATCGGGCATCCATCGTGAGGCTTGCCTGCGCATGCGTGAGTGGGGAGGGGCACCAGTCAATTGCGCGTATACCAACACATTCACTGCAGTCAATTGGAACATGATTTGGAACAGCTCAAAAGCCGTGTCCTGTGCCTGGACCCTTTGTTCATATTTCTAGAACCACGCCGCGGATACCCGATCTCATTTCAACAGAACAGCCCTTCGCCGAAGCCTCCCTCCCTCCGCCCCACCCAACTCCGCGCAACGAGCACCAGCCATCCATTGCTTCTCAGTCTCTCGCCGGCGACAGACCACGCAGCCTCTCTCCCTTCCCCGCCCCGAGCCAGCCCATCCATGGCAGGTGGTGGAAGACGCCCGACACCGACCCGGCCTTGATCCCCGGCGGCTTCGCGGAGGCGTGCTTCGCCAGCAGCGCCGAGAGGAAGGCAGGGTAAGGGATCGGAAGTGATGAAACCGGGGGGTCCTTGCTGGGCTGCTGGTGGCTGCCGGTGACGGTGATTTGGTTGATATCATCTAATTCAATTTGGGAATTTGATTTGGAGCATTTATGGAAAAGCATCTCCAGGCTCCTGACCAGCAAGTACAGCTGGTCTTTCCTGGTCAGAACCACCCAGGCCACAAAGGCCCAGGTGTCAATGGTGTTGGACGCTTTGCATCCAACGCGTGATTGCAGCGTGATTGACGGACCCCAGCAACCATGAACTCTTGGACCTGGTATATCTGGTATTCTCTAGCTGTATGGCTGACAGTCTTGGGGACCATGTGCCTGGCCGACAGTCTTGGATCTTAAAGCAGCCAGCAGTTGGGTGATCAACACCCCCAACTGCTGGCTGCCAGGGGTTTAGGTCCATGGTGTGCTTCTTTTGATTCGATGCTGAATCCTCCTCCTCCTCCTCATCATCATCATCATCGTGAAGAAAACCTGGAGCGACTCGATGCTTCAGGTTCACTGCTTCTTCGAGGTCCGACCGGACACTCCATGATGTTCCAGCCCCAGACACTCCATAGATGTGGTATATATGTTATATATATAGTGTATATACAATATATATATATATATATATGTAATAAATATATATATATTTTTTTTTACATATGTATGCATTATTATACCTGCATTGGGGTGGTTGATTTCAGGCATCCTTCCTGAGCCTGGGGGAGCGGCTCTTTTTTCCAGACTCATCGTGCAATGCCGGTTCCCAACGGAGCGGGAGAGTGGCAGCCGTCCCCAACGGTCCCAGGTTCCTGGTTTTGCTGATCAGTCAGTGATTGGTGTGTTTTTCCAGGTTCCTGGTGAAGCTGTTCTTTGGTGCTTAACTGGTATGTACCCCCAGTTGTTTGTGGATCATCCCCTTCCTTCTGGGTCAAGATGGTTGCCTCTCTCGGCCAACGCGGGCGCCGCCCATTTCCAGCGATTATTGACCTCGCTCCAGGTGGAGTACTCCTACCTCAAGGGCCGGAAAGGCTTCGTGAAGATTTGCATCGAGGAGGGAAACACTTCGAGGAAAAACGCTCAGAGAGGTGGGAGAGTTACACCCTAGAAGACTAACATGGACCCTGAAAAACACTGGTTGGTAGAGGGGAACCATCTTCCGGGGGGTCATTGTCAGGGTCTATGTTAGCTTTCAGGAGTGTAGTGTTTTTTTCCGATGGGTTGGAATTCCGGAGACCGGCTGCTGGTCGCTCTCAATCCAACCGTGCGTGCGTCGTTTGTGACAGTCAACGTCATCCGCGCTGCGCTCTTATCCGGTCGAACCAAAAAACCTGCCAACCACAATCTAATGGAATGCATTATGTTCGATCCAAACGACGATTCGTTCATTTCATGTTTCTTTCTGCTCCTAACTGATATTTGTATCTCTTCTTCTTTATTGCGCTTGCTTTCTTTTCTCTTTTCTTCCTCTTCGTTTTGCGATCTTTTGTTTTACGGTCGGTTCCTTTCTGGTTTGCTGTCTGTCTTTCTCTGTTCTTTCTCTCTGCTTTCCTTGCGTTCTTTCTTCCTTCGACTTTCGGGTCTTGAACTCTTCCTCTCTTTTTGTTTCGTCTTTTCCGGCTGTCTGGCTTTCTCTTCGCTCTTTTCTGTCTGAGTTTGCTTTGCTTTTCGGTTGCTTCGGCTTTTTCTGTGCAGCTTCTGGTTTCCTTGTCCTTTTCCAGTCTTCTTTGTGTGTAGCCGGCTTGTGTTGATCCCTTCGGGGCGCCAATCTTGAAGGGACATGTGACATGTGGTGTCTGATAATTCCCGGGGACCTCTTTCAACACAAGTCCGCTACACACTATATAGTGTAATTCCCCGCGCTCTTAAACGGCCTGTGACGTCCCCCAAAAACGGGAGCCCGGGAGACCGTAATTTCCCTACACTCTAAAACGGCCTGTGGCTTCTCTCGTTTTTGAACCCCTCAAAAGGACACCAAATGGAGCCTATTTTAGGGGTTTAGAAATAGGAGGAAGCCACAGGCCGTTTTAGAGTGAGGGAAATTACGGTCTCCCGGGCTCCCTGATTTAGGGGGACGTCACAGGCTGTTTAAGAGCGCGGAGAATTACACTATATAGTGTGTAGCAGTCTTGTGTTGAAAGACCTCTTGTGGGACCATTGAAGACCACATAGCCCACCAAGATATAACCGTAAAGGGAATCAACACGAGCCGGCTACACACAAGAAATGTATGGAAGAAGAAAAAGCAAAATTAGACGAGATGATAGCAAAGAGAGCGATGAAGCATTTGCAAAACACGTACTTGGAACATCGAAACGATAGGAGAGCAATGAGAGCAAGGTGAAACCCAAACGCAAAGAACAAAATTAGCCCAGCTGGAGACCCCAATAGCAAGATACAAACCCGGACAAAAAGAAAAATCTGGAAACAGCTGCTGTTTTCAACACATCGACCATCTCTTCCTTGGACACCATCATCACATAACCGGGACACCCTCACAAAATGACCAGGGCACCATCAAAACATGACCGAGACACCGTCACAACATGATTCGGACACCATCACAACATAACCGGGACACCATCACAAGGTGACCGGGACACCAGCATGACATGACGGGGACACCATCACAACATGACCGGGACACTATCACAACATGACCGGGACACCGTCACATGACCCGGACACCATCAAAACATAACCGGCACACCGCCAAAACATGACCAGGACACCATCACAACATGACCGGGACACCATCAAAACATGACCGGGACACCGTCACAACATGAGCGAGACACCATCACAACATGACTGGGACACCGTCACAACATGACTGGGACACAATCACAACATGACCGGGACACCATCACAAGGTGACCGGGACACCAACATGACATGATGGGAAAACCATCACAAGATGACCAGGACACCATCACAACATGACCGGGACACCGTCACATGACCCGGACACCATCAAAACATAACCGGCACACCGCCAAAACATGACCAGGACACCATCACAACCGGGACACCATCAAAACATGACCGGGACACCGTCACAACACGACCGGGACACCATCAAAACATGACCGGGACACCATCAAAACATGACCGGGACACCATCAAAACAAGACCGGGACACCATCACAACATGACTGGGACACAATCAAAACATAATCGGGACACCGTCACAACATGACCGCGCCACCATCACATGATCGGGACACCATCAAAACATGACCGGGACCTTTGGATCGCGCGCCCTGTGTCTGAGAACGTGTTGTGGCTGAACGTCACATTGACCAGCCACAAAAAGGCGACCTTCAACTTTGCCATGTCAGGAGAGGTGATTGGTTTGTTACAGAAAGAGCGTAAAGAATTGCATCGCCGATCGAAGCCTTTTGCATCAATCAAACACTTGTGTTCAACCTCTTTCTTCCCGCCTGTTCGGATCGCTGGGGCCTGAAAATATACAAGGGTTTGAGAGGCAACGAGAATTGAAGGAGCCATACATACGCGCGCCAGCTGAGGACATGGAGGCCATTCAAGTGGAGCATGCATTTGCCCACCTTGCCTGCTGTTCCTGCGGCGCCTCGGCCAAACCGTGATATAAGACACGCAAAGAGAGATAGAGAGAGAGAGAGAGAGAGAGAAAGAGAGGGAGAGAGAGAGATAGAGAGTGTGTGAGAGAGAGAGAAAGAAATGAAGAAAAAGAAAAGAAGAAAGCAAAAGAACGAGATAAAAAGAAGATCACAGAAGACAGCGATCAATAGAGAACGGACCATCGCATCGACGGCTCAAGGTGAGAGCGGCGTGCCTCTGGGCCCCCTCGATGGGGACTCATGGTGGAACACCTTGCATTGCAAGGCTGGGCACAGGTAGCGCACAATCCTTTGGGTTGAATTCCGAAAAGTCAGACACGCCGCCAGCTGGTTAGGAATGCCTCCTGGATCTTGGCTACCAGGCGTGGTCGACAGAACCCTTCTCCCAACGAGCGGATGACTCGGAGGAGGAATTGGCCGAAGTGGACGAGGGAGGCGTGAGAAACGGTGAGCAGACCAATAGTATACGATGGTCTAGTCATTGCACATATCAGGCATTCGAAGATATGACGGTGGTTCCATGCCTCCTAGAATCTCCGACAAGTGCGCAGCGGACTGGGCGACGCGCGCCGGACCGCGGGCACGCGCAGCAGGAATGGGCGGCCGATGACATTTCGGACGGCGAGTCCGTCTGGAGTGTGGAGGTACACCCACCAGAGTCGCGGGCTCGCCGCCTTTCCGCGAAGTTCGAGCCAATCGGTATACCGACGCAGCACGTTCTCAGGGATCCGCTCGTTGAGTACGGGCCAGAATTGCGCGAGCCCAAGCTCTAAGTCAGACGTCTGTGCGAACCCGGCGCCCGAACCGAGGCCTCCCATCGGATATGAGGAAAAAGACGAGGATGGATGCCTCCGTGTCTACGAAAGAGGCACCATTGGGTGGGCGTCGGACACCCAGACTGCAGAGAAACCATTTCAATTATAGCTTTGTGTGGCTGGCGTCAGGCTCCTCTTCTGAGAGGTCGCCCAGCGTTTCACCGTCGCCCCGCGACCTCTGGACAGTGCGTGGCCGAAACAGACGCAATCCGATTCAGCGAGCCAATTGTAGTTCATGCGCACTCCTTCAATTTCTGTCTTAAGAAAATGCAATTTGTTCGGCTTCTTGACCGCTTCCTTCTGTCGACTTGGTTTCTCTGCTTGTGTGCTTTGAAATAGTATAGTCTGTCCTTGGTTTCCGTTTTTTTAAGGCTCCGACTCATGCAGCTTCCCTTTTATTTTGTTTCTCTTCATTTCCAACGACATATTTCATTGTGTTCTTCCTTCGTCCTTCCATCCTTGCATCGGCCTCCATTGCTCTAGGAGGTTCTGCTTCGTTCTTTGGGCGCTCGTCTCTGGTTGCTTTCTTCTCTTGTGTTTGCACATAATCTCCTAACATGCGATAGCCACAGGAGAACCAAGGACATCTCGTCTTATAATCTTTATACAACAACAAGAAAAACAGCCAGGAGAAGAAGGAATGTGCTATTCAAGCACGAAAATAAAGACAAGAACCACCCACCTAAGTCACCTGCCGTCACCCAAAACCGCCCTTGTTCACCAGGAGAAGAAGGACATGATCCCGGCCTACACCTTTCGCCTCAACTGGATGTATCGCACACCCCGTTCCCTGCGGGGCGCCCGTGCTCGGCTCTCGCAGCGGATCTTCGTCGCCTGGATGAGCCAAAGGGATGGGCGGGATGCGCCTCCAGGGGTAACTCACCAACACAGGTGTGAAGATGTGTGAGTTTCGCAAGAAGCACCCCTAGGTTTTTGCAATGGGGTTTTAAGAAAATGGAGGTACTTCACGAGTGATCAACACATATCAACACCAAACACCATGGATGTTCACATTCCCAAAACCCAGTGGAAGTGGTCCGATGTTTACCTCCTCCAGGTTCTGAAAGGGTGAAAGAGAATGCAGAGTGATGTCCACTGTGAGGGGGCGTAATGATCCAAAATCGCCGGCTCAAAATGTGGGTCAATGCGGATAGTCACAAAAGGTAGCCCTTTAGGGGATACCTTGAGTTTGTCTTGCGAAGCAAGTGTTGGGACGTCCGGGTCCAATAATTGATCGCTCAATTCAGATGCCCCCCCCCCCCGATTGATTTTTCAATCCAGACCCCCCCCCCCCCCCCCCCCTTGGAATTGTTTTTTAAAAACAGCCCCCCCCCTCCCCCCCTCTAAAATCAATTCCCTCCTGGAGAACGTCTTCGTGAGCCTCTCATGATTTCAGGATAGTTGAAACCCTCTTGAACATTCAGAAAGAGTGAATATGAAATTCTAATCACGAAAGGTGTTCCCCGAGGGGATACATACCTAGAGTTTGTTTTGTGAAGCACGTCATTTCTCTCCTGGGGAGCGCTTTCGTGAGCCTCTTATGGTTTCAGGATAGTTCAAATCCTATGATGTTCCGATTCAATGCTCACCGATGATCTGAGCCATGGGGCAAATGTTTTCCTAAGAATATTTTTGAACATTTCGAGAGCATATGTTTGAACATTTAGAGTGCATATGAACATATATTTACGAAAGGTCGCCTCCGAGGGGATAAATCACCATGTCGAACATTGCATTTTTGTTCCTGCCTCTCGCGTTCTCTTCTCTTCCCGCTGTCCTACCTTTCGTGTCTCCCTCCTCTCAAGTTTGTTAATGTTTCCCGGTGGGTCAATCCCCCCGGGCCCTGGGAAGATGTGTTCGTTGCTTAGCGCCCCGAGATCTCGCCTGGGTCGACGGGTCAAGTCGACTGTTGGGTATTTGTCACTGGGAGGTCCCAAGGTCTTCCTAGTGTAATACACAAAACATATTGTTGTTTTTAGTTGTTTCACTGTTTGTACATATTTTATGTTGTTTTATATATAGATATATACCACTATATGTGTTTTCTCTATTTTAATACACATCCATGGCCTATGGCCAGAAACAAAAACCACCAGTGTCATGTCATCCCCTGTCCGGTCGCGTTTTGGGAGTTGTAGTGATGTGCCAGGCAGGTCCGAGATTGGTCAGTGACATCTGAAGGCTGAGTTGGAGTGTGAGACCTACCAGGCCCCTCCCCGATAATAGCTCCCAAAAAGAGAAGATTTGGGGTGTCCATGAACCACCCCGAGTTTGGGGGACTGAAGAGGCCGGCTGTGCACTCCAAAAGATTTGGATTTGAAGTGCATGTTTGCAGGGATTTTGACTGGCTTGAGCTGCATTCCCAGAGTGTTTGCCATTGGCTTGCTTTCCAAGCCGCAATGATTACCGCTCACATCAGTTGTTTTGAGAGGCAGCAGGAGGAAATCATGTTCTAATCTATATCACTAAACCTGGTCCTTCATTGAGTCGTGTGTTTGCATGATCAACTCCAGTAAAATGAGGTCCTTGAGCTGTAGGGTACTGTTTATTAGAGGATACCCCCGGTCGTGAACCACCCAAAAAGCCTGTAGATAGTGGCACAACGGCCCCTCTATGATTCCCGGCCCTCGGGCAGAGATCAAGATGCTAGCTTGCTAAGGTGGGTGTGATCCCGTTTTTCGGCTACCTGGGCACTTCAATGCCTTTGCACGAGAAGACCACCACGGTTTCTTCGACATACTAGAAGCAAGAAGCTACTCGGGTGGAGGCCATCGCTACTAGTGTGGAGGCCACCCCTACTAGTAACAATTTGCAGCTTTCTAGTAACTTCACTGTCAGTTTTGCATGGAACGTCACACGCGATTCATGCGTGAAGAAACATGAGTGGGAACACGAGGAAAATGGTCGGGCCATGGGCTCGAAGTGGGGGTCGTACCGTTAGGGATCCAACTCAAACACCGGTCTTTATGTGTTAACGTGCAAAAAGTGAATGGTTCTTCTGAATATCCAATTGCATTTCTTGGTGATTCTTGTCTAGAAAGAAGAACCTTTGGTGCAGCCGGGAAGTTTCTCTGCTGGGTTGGAGTTTTTCTACTGTGGTGGGTGCAACGTATTAGTTTTGGTCGTGGTCGCTTGTCCACATCAGCATATTTCGGACGTGTGCGTTCGTCCCTCAAACGGTTCTTTGCTTTGTAAACATGATGCCTTTGACACTCTAGCAAGTCAACTTGAGGCCTCTTAGGTTGAGTTGTTTCACCACTTGAACAAGAGACCCTATTTTGGATAGACGTGACATGTTCAATCATTTATCCTCAGTCTTGTCCTCATTTGTTGAAGTACTTTCCACCATTTGAGGAAAAACTCTAGTGATGCTCTGCGCGAAGAAAATAAGCAACACATTTGACCAAGGTGGTCTTCCCCCCGTTCGAAGCCTCCAGCTACACCTTGGATCAGCTCGACGAGGCAGGTTTTTGAACCAAACCTGTGTTTGAAGGGGATTTTGGTGTTTTGAGGCAACAGTTGTCTTTACCAAGGTCATCCAACTATGCAACATGTTTGTAACTTTGTTGGCTTTATGGATGAACAGATCGTCATGTTGCACAGTTGGTTCAGTTCGAGGTCTATAGTTCTTTTATAGTTCTTTTTGGTGAACAAACACTTCTCATTCCGTTTCACTGCACCGGACCTCCGTTTCTCCTCCGGCCTAAGAGGGGCCGACCGGACCTCGTTCAGGTCACCCGGGCTGATCCGTCTGAGGCGACGTCCTCCACGGTGTGTTTTCGGAGACGAGGTCGAGGGCACATGTCAATCACTGGCCTTGGCCACTGGGGGTCAGGATGTGGAGGTGGTTCTTTTTGGAAGGAGTTTATAGAAAATAACACACCCATTTTGATTGGTCCATTTTTTGCAGCAGGTCATTTGCCAAGCCTCACCCTTGCAGGCACATGAGGCCTATCTGGCGCATTTGAAGAAGCATTTTGACCTGAACAAGGACAAGTACGGTATGAAAGATGTGGAACTCGTGTGAACCTCAGCATGGCCACGTATCCAACAGATGCCAGAAACCTGGGCGTTCCAGGTTTCGCGGAACTTTGCTGGATGCGTCCAACCCAGACGCATCATATTTTTGAAGACATAATTACCTAGAGCCCTGTTTGACCTCTGCTTCGGTAGGGAAAAAGGCCTTTAACATCCTTTAACTATGGGTGGTGGGTGGTTCATTTCAGGTCACTCAGGCACCCAGGTATGCCCTTAGTGCTGGGATGTTCTACTCACCAAGCTCCTCAGTTTCAGGGCTTCGTCAACGCCTCGGTCTCTGGCTCTCCTGGTCCCCGGTGATGTTGTATGTTCCCGGTGTCTAGGTCTCCCGGTCTCCCCCAAGCCTCGGGGAATCAATATGTGGTTCTTTCCCGGCAAACCTCGTCCGGAGCCCAGCACAGGTGGCGTGACTCTGAGCAGGTAAAGTGGGAAATGGGAAGCGGGACCACGGCAAACCAGAACAACGTGCCACAAAAACCTTTTTTGAGCCGCCAGAGTCCCAGTGGAGACCTCTAACCCGCCGACTGGTTCTCGCATGGTTCTCATGGTTCCAGGGCCGAGCGAGTATGCCGGTTCCTCACCTTCCCGTGGCTTCACTGGGACGAAGCTGAGTTCCCTATCTCAAGAGTCGATGCACTGGGACTACCTCAAGGAGTTGAAGAGTGAACCTTTCCTTCAAGCAAGGGCTGTAGTCCAACAGAGCTGTTTGAAGCCAAGCTGTGTTCCAAGCAGCTGCGAACGAAGCAAACTTGGTGTAGTCCAGCAAAGCTGCCTTGAGGTCTTCGTGGGCAACGATTTCCAAGATGATGACTGGGCCACCCGCGCCCTCCAAAGTGTCGGCGTTCTGCGTCCCCCTCGCTCGCGCTTGTGAGAGGCCAGGGAGGACTGGAGTGGAGGACGGCAATAGGAAAGGAGAGGAACCCGAAAACTGAAAGGTGTTCGATGACAACCGAAAATAACTAGCCTACCAGCCTAGCATACAATTTAGGTTTTGCCAGGAGAATCTGGGCATGAACGGCACCTTTTGTTGGCCTGACGGCTCTATATATTCGCGCTTGATCTCATGGATGTCATGGAATATCGTTGAAGATTTCTCCCTGCACCACTTCGTGCAACACAGTGTAAACAGTTGCGTATATTTGGCTGTGTGTCAAAACAAGGGGACTCTGGTTGATCACCCAAATTGAACAGAATGGACGACCTACAGGAGGCCAACCTATCAGGGATTAGGGCTTCGGGTTTTGACCACAGCCATATCGTAACTGTTTCGGCGGTGGTGCAGGTAGAAGCGTTTTTATTCAGGCTCAGACCTTATGGGTCCACATACGCTCTCAGAGGGTGATTGGAGACATGGAAACGCCAGGGTCCAACCACCTTCCAAAAGGGGGACCTCATATATAAAAGTGGCTTCGTTTTTACCATGAGGTCAACCCCAAAGCCTCTCCATGAGGTCAACCACCATGGTGTGAAGCTCACTCGCCTCATCCTGTTGATCCTTGACTTCTCACCACCACCGGCTGCGTTCCAGGCCTTACGAACACGCGCGGTGGAAGGCCTGGCGTCCCGGCCAGCTTGAGTCAGACTACGTGGATCGTGTAGGACTGGGGAGGGAGACTATAGTAGGACAGCATAGGACTATCATAGGACCATCCATGTACAAGCGTACAGTTTTTGCCGCCTGCTTTTGACAGAAGTCAGACAAGAGGGAAGAAATCAGAGAACATCCGCAGTGTGATACATGGAGCCTCCCAGCAGTGCTTGATGTATGGAACATGATGAGAACCTGACCACGTCAAGAGTGGCGATTTGATTTACATGACGCAGATTCTGACCACTTCCAGATCCCAAACAGATCTCAAAGACCATCTGAAACCGCGCGATTCAGATCTAGTCCTAGGCCTTTTCTCACACCCCTGTCGACCTCGGGAGCAAAGTCTCCCCAAACAGATGATCCAGTCCTTTGAGGGATGGACCAAGGGTTCTTTCTGGGAAGTGGAAATGATTGGTTCTGTGAAGTGCCAAGAAGGAGCCATGGGAAGTGCCATGGGTCAAAGATTGTTACACTCATCGAGTCTAGTGAAGCGAGTCTAGGGCCCATTCTTCCTGAAACGCCCTTTCTTCATGGCTGTGGGCTGTGGGTTGCCTGACGCGGAGCCCCGCACGTTTTTGGGCGCCTAGACAGATCTACAACCGTTTTGCTCCGTGCGGTTTGACGAAGAGAATGCCGCATGAGATGTTGCAACGATACAACATGGTAAAACCTACAGGTTTTGGCCATGGCCAATGGCAAACCAATAAAATGCACTAACTAAATAGGCGCGTTGTTTTGGACTCGCCGGGGTTGTATTTCACTGTGAAGTCGCGTCGGGGTCACGCAGCTGTGGGAAAAGGGGCTCCATCGGTGTTGACCCACACCCAGTGCCTTTGGAGTGCCTTAACATAGGGCTCAGCCTGTCCCGGAGAAAGAGGAGCGTCTCGGACTTCCAACGTTTTGCAGCCGCTTTTTCGGCCGAAGCATCCGAAGGATCGATCAGGTGTGTTTGGCATTGTTTGGCTTTAAGGTAGTTTGTTGTTCTTCCTGTGGGTGAACCCCCTTCTGGGGAAGATGTTCTGCTTTGTAACCAGCTCCTTCAAATCCTTCGTCACCGTTTCATCGCTGCACACCGTTTCGAACACCCGCGAGGCGAGGCCAAGACCCGCGAGGCCCGCAGAACCACGTTGGCTCAATCAGCGCGAGACACGACCACCTCACCATGTTCCGCGGCCTCTCTCGCGCGCGGCCTCTCTCGCGCTTGGAACATCGAGCCAGCTCGACACAGCCAGTGACACTGCGTGGCTTGGTTCGTGGAGCCAAACATCCTGCGTGGAATATAGGTGTGGTATGTGGGAGGAGTACAGGTGTTGCAAGAAGTGGAAGGAATCCCCAGCTGTGTTTTAGACATGTGACACGCCCTGTGACACGTTTCAACCAAAAACCATGGTCCTTCGCTGAGTTTCGAATGCTTGGATCACTGAGTTCACCTCACCTCTCGACTCATGTCACGGCCTGGTCACCATGCTTCACCATGCTTCACCCAGACATGACGTACATGGAATTGCTGCGACTGGACCCGACCCCGAACGCGCCGCGACGGGCGAGTCTCCTAGATCTCCTACACCTCAGACGTTCGCTCGCTACGAATGTCAAGGGTTTGTTCAACCCCACACCATTCTATGGAATAGTTCTACATTTACCCCATTGATGGGCCCATCCCAGTCCTATGGATGGGTTGATCAACTCATCCACCCCTCCGATGGATCCTGCCCGGCCCAGGTTGGTCGGACGGACGCTCTGCCGGCGCCTTTCTTCCCAAGTTCCTGCGTGAGAACACCTTGGAGCCGTGTTTTGGAGTGTGTGTGTGTGTTTTTTGGGGGGTTGTTGGTTCGTGAGTCTTGTGGCTCTCAAAAACGTTTTTTCCATATCAGGGCTTGAGTGTTTCAACAGATGGCATATGGATTTCGGCAGTGTTCAGATCATTGACAATTATAGTGTCTCAAGGATGGATGTTGATGTTTATGGGCTCTCACGAGCTTTCCGCGTCAGGGATGAGTGGTTTTTCTCGTAGTGTCCCTTAGTCTCAGATGAGATTGAGGCCATAATGATCCCCAACTTGGTGAATCGTTGTTTTATGTTTTCGCGGTTTCCTTATGCAAAGACCCCACTGACCCCACAGACCTGGCAACTACATCGGTTACATCGGCGTCTCCCATTTCCGCCGAGGAGGCGTGGGACAGCAGCTCGAAGCAACGCCTGCATTTCGGCATCCCTTTGGACTTGGAGGTCACGGATGCCATCCCAGTGGAGTGCACGTCCCCTCCTTATTCGGAAGCGAGCGAGCGTGATGAGCATGGTGAGGAGATGTCAACAGTCTGTGGACCGTAGGATACCGCAGGACTAGGATGGAGATACATGGTACGTTGGACCATGTTAGGAGCCTCCCCCAGTCCTTCTCATCCCCCAGTCGCACTTTCTCAGTGTGGATCGCTCCATTTCAAACAGCCAAAGCAAAGCGTCGGACCGTCCAAAGTCCCGAGGTCGCCGGGCTTTCTGAACTTCAAGGGACCTGCATTCAAGGTGGGAGGCCTATGGTATCCTTCAACAAAGGGCAATTTGAGTATCCCTAGCCTTCCGCCCGACCTCAAAAAGAGTAAGGACTTGACCTGGTTTTGTTGTGTCAAGTCCTTAATAGAACAAAGGGTTCTTCTGTTTAAAAAAACAAAAAAACCTTATAAATCAACGCGGTGCTGGTGTCATGCCAGGGCTGTAGGATCGTAAAATATCGTAAAACCATTCACTGACATTCCATGTGTCCCAAAACATCTCGCCCTCTGAATTCCCTTCCGTTCGTCTTCGTTAGACCCTCCGTGACTCCCTCCGTGCCCTTCCGTCCCCCCTTCCAACACCTCGGAACCGACGCGGCGGCCGCCGTTCCGGCGGTTCCGGTAGGTCTCCTTCTCCGATGGCCACGTGGGCCACTTCGTGGCGCCCAAGGTGCACACGGCGATGTGGCAGAAGGCGGAGCGGAACGCGGAACGCGGAACGCGGACCGTGCGCGGGTGGGTCGTGCGGCGGGTGGGTGGGTTGGAAGGGCCGAGCGGTTTGGGCGGGGGAGGATGGGTTTCGGAGAGCATTGAAAGTGTCGAACTGTGGGTGGGATGTGGAGAACGTGACCGGTGTGGGAGAATCGGTGCTTTTGGGACTCATTTGTTGGTGGATAGTGGTGTGTGTGTGTGTGTGCATAGAGATGTCATGGTTTTTTGGTGAGGCTATGAGGATGTGTCAGGTTTGAGCATGAAGGCTGTTTGCAAACTTCAATGGACAGACAGACAGACCGACCGACCGGCAGATAAATGAAAGGAAAGACAGGAGGAAAGAAAGAAAGAAAGAAAGAAAGAATAAGGAAGCAAAGACAGCAGAGATGCAATTGCTTTCACCCTCATGGCCACCTGGATCTCACGGGTGCAAACTCAGCAACCCCATGAGCCAACGCATTGCGCTAGTCATTGCGCCCGAGCCAACACCATCGGGGCAGGGTTCAAGGGGTCCAGACTTGGCTGCAATTTGCCTTGCTCAGGAGCTCCATCAGACTCACCAAAAGCGCTATTGGGGCTGCTTGGCGCTATTGCTTTTGCGCGCTGTTTTGGGGTGTGGGGCGAAGCAACCGACACCCGAGGTTCTCAGAAACACATGAAGTTGGGGTCCGAATGCTTTTTAGGGGATTTAGGACTAAAGTGGCTGGTGGTTTTTTGTTGGGCTCCTGACCTCTGGTAGTGGTAGACGAACTTCTGGCTTCATTCGGATGATTCTGGGATCGCAGGACACAAGCGTGAGTGGTAGTGGATTAAACATGATTAAACTAATGAGAGTTTGCAGAGAAACTATAATATGTTGGTCGTGTCGTTGACGCTTCAAACATCATTTAAGTGCTGTGTTGCTGGCCACACCATTGGTGTTTAAAATCTCCCAGCTGGCTTTGAGCTGGGGCTTTGGGGAGATTTGGGCAAAACCCAGGTGCAGATATGTGCAGATGATCCTTGAGCATGGCCAAAGTGATTCACGTCATTTCGATGTGAAGGTGAGGAGATTGGTTGACTGTATTTTAAATATATATATATATATTTATACCAACAGAACTCGACCTCTCATGGCCACACTGTCCACTTCCATTATTTTTCCCTGGAATGGGCAGCATTCTGTTCGTTGGAGACGCCTGTACGCTGATTGATGAGTTGTTTTAACATAATCCACCCCGATTCACTTCTGATAGGGTCCGTAAAACAGTCCTTTAGGTCTCCTGGTGGATGGAAACACAACTGACAAGACGATATCAAGTCACCATTGGCGATGTGTATTGCTTTGCAATGCCAGGGAACTTGCCTTCACTGGCGTTGATGAATGGTTGCGATTGCATGTGAACGATCCAAATCTTGCGTGCCAAGAAATCTTGGATAATCTCCTGGTTCCTTTCCCTGTTGGTCAATCCCCAAACCTGCCTCTTGGGACTTTAAGTGACCTTATAAGACCGGACCCGTAGGACCTGCGGCACCTATTTTGTGGGATAGTTGAACTAGGGTCCTTCCACCTCTGTTGGTTGGGGACGATGGTTTCCTGCTGCTTTGCTAGCTTCTTGTTACTAGTAGTAATGCCAGGAGCAACTAGTAGCGTCCTTGTTACTAGTAGCAATGCACCTTCCCTAGGCCTCCAAGTACCTTCGTTTCGAGGGGGGTTTGGAGGGTCCAGTCATACCTTCTGAGGAGGTACTTGGAGGCCTAGGGCCTAGGGCTTGTTATATACTATGTTTCAGTGTTTTTCTCCCAATTCGGAGCCTCAAGTCGATCCCTGCAATCCACCCACAACACCTCAAGGTCACGAGGAGGCTGCAGGCATCACGGAGGACATGGGTTTCAGCCCGTCGTCGGCCGGCCGGACACACGGTCCTGTTGGACGTGGACGAAGAAACAATAAGACTAACAAACATATCATGACAGTCTAAGGATTTGATCGCTTTGTTCTTGGTTCTTTTTGGTCAAGATGGATTTTGTTGGATGGAAGCGATTCTTGTGCATGTTTGGTGGATGGAAGGCTATTTTTGGGGATAGGTTTTTAAGGTTCCTTGAATTTCTGAACCCTGGAACAGGATTGGAAGGTCCGGCCGGAGGCGCCTCAGTCGAGTGAAGGTGAAGGCTGCACGAAAGAAGGAAAGGAAAAGGATGTGTCAGGCATGGATCCACTGGCAAGCTATTGGGCAAGTCCAAGTATTGAACCCCAAACTTGGAATGTAAGTATATATACATAATAGATTATAATAGCATGTATGTAATAGCTCATATTTAGAACTATTTAGCTATAAGTTTAGATATCATATTTAGGTTAATGCATCTCAATACAACTTATGAAAAGAAACACACCAAACACCTCGCTCTTGCTCGCCTTCCACTCCACTCCCGCTCCCCCCCCCACTCCGCATCTCGAGGACCTCACGGGCGGACGCCTTCGCTTCGACTGGGCCGAGCTGCACGACGCCGGCGCCAAGCAGCGCTGGATCGAGGCCATGCACACCGACGGCGT